GGGGGGGGGGGGCGCTGGCTTGGTGAATGTTGCCCATCAGAGGAAGATCTAGGTAAAAACATCGAGGCATCTTTGTTCTCTAATAAATATTCAAGTTTACGGATCAGTTGTGCCGACTCTCTGAGCCCCATCTGTAAAAATGGGCACAATAATACTGACCTAGGCTGGAGTGATACTTCTAGTCCCAGTAAGTGGTCAGTTATAATAGCTACCATTTAGTGCAGGAAAGAGTGCTAAGAAGTATGAATAACATTATGATGTAAATATTGCAAAAGCCGTAACGTAGGGGGTTCGAGAGGTTGTGTAACTGGCCACCATGTCTCACAGCCAGGGAGCCGGGGAGTCCACCCCCTGGACCACTGGCCTCTGAAAGTCTGTCCGAATATTTCTGGCTCGTCAGGACACACTCCCCCTGACTGAATATGCCTTGTTTCTCTCCTCAGGTGACCTGAAAAGGTGACTCAGACGCAGGAGGCAGAACTGATGGCCAAGGCAGCGACTGGATTGGATCTGATGTAAACACAACAACAGAGAGTCGAGGCTGATCAGAACGTTCTGACATCTGAACGTGGGGAGGGGAGGGCTGAACCCCAAATCCCCGCAGGGCTGAGTGACATCTTAGTCACGGGACTGACGGCTGATGTGAGACAAGCCAGGGATGCTGCTAACACGACCCTCACAGCGTGAGCCGGATACAGTTTAGAAGTGGGGAAACTGAGGTGCAGAGAGGTTAAGCGACTCTGCCAAGGTCCCCTGGCTAGCAAGCCACAAAGGTTGGCTGGCATCCTTGTCTGGGAGCCTGTGCCCCTTAATCGATCACCTCTCCTCCTCTCTCGCTTGCCTTCAGAAGCCCATTTTAGAGCCTTATTAAAAAGCACCTGAAAGTTGCTCTTCCCAGAAGGGGACAGCAGGGGGCGGTGTAACCAGCAAGCATTTGAAGTTTGGCTCGCGTCCTGGGTAACCATCATCCTGAGAAACTGTCTAAGGGGCATTTGTGGTTTTGTCCTCTAAACGGGGAAGACACACACACACACACACACACACACACACACCCAGGAAGAGTGCCAGTCCATAATCAGAAACAGGACCGTCTGGGCTTCCATGTTTTGTCAAAGCCACTCCAATTCACCTCCCCGACCCGAGGTCCCCTCTAAAGCAGGGACCACGACTGACGTCTTCGCTTCCGTGTTTCAATGTCTGGCACGTGGTGGGCATTCAACAAACAGTAAGGCACCGAGTGATGGTTGGTGGGAGCGAAGGGTGTCAGCCCTGTGACCGCACTACGGTGTCCTCATCTGATGACGAGGTTAAGGACACAGCTTCGGGACTCCGCGGGAAGCAGGGTGGTTATTGGCTTGGGCTCCAGAACCCACGATGAGACCAGGTTTGGAGGCTGCCTTGCGCTCGGCAGCCAGTTCCAGCACAACCTGTGAAGGCTCACGGTCTGGGAGCCACGGTCCCGTCTTCTGGAGGACGGAGGTGGGAACGGATCGCGTCCTGCTGAGTGACCCTGTGCAAGTCACTCTGTGCCTCCAGTCCTGGGGCAGGTCTGTGGGAGCAGTTTGGGTCTGGCCAGCCCTGGGCTCCTGAGGCATCATCACGCTGAGCCTCAGCTTTCTCAACCTACTCCTCATATGAACTTGTTTCCAACTGGCCCACGCATGGGGCTTTTCCTGTCCTCTTTGGTGGGCGGTCTCCTCCCCTCTCCAGTCCAAGTAATTCTCCAGAGCGCCACACCTGGAGGGACAACTGTCACTTGCCCCACAGGCACGGCAAACACAGGTTGGCCCCAGACTGACCTCTCAGCCCCCTGCTCAACTCAATAGGCTAAAGACCAGGGACTATGCCGGGTGTTTAATAGACATTATATGATTTAATCTTCACGGCAACGCTCTACGGTAGCAACTATCAGAGTTCCCATTTTGCAAAAGGAAAAACAGGCTCAGAGAGGAAGTTGCTCAAGAGCATGCATTGTAGCAGCAGTGACCGATTCCCTGCCCAGGGGAGGAGATTTCCTCTCCGCACGAAGCCAGGCTGCCCAGTGTGGGGAGCTCTGGGAGGAGGGGGACACTGGGATCACTGAGGGAAGCCTCAGACCCCTCTCCCTTAATCCGGGATCAAGACTCGAGCATCCACTGGGGCGCCTGGGTGGCTCCATCGGTTAAGCGTCTGACTTTGGCCGAGGTCATGATCTCACGGTTCATGAATTCGAGCCCCACGTCGGGCTCTGTGC